CAGTATTCTGATAAGAGCTGCCCTACAGAGGTATGAAAAAGGCATAGGGGAGCTTGAAAGCACTGTCCAATGAAATATGAAAGAACAAATAAAAGGCAAAATATCTAAACCAAAAATTCAGACTACTGTCACTTTTGCTAAGGGAGCATCAGGAAATCATAAGGCTTTTATTGCTATTAGCTCACTCATTGGGTTGAGGAACTTCCTGGTTTTAAAGCTACAGCTAACTTTGTTGCTAAAATCCTTCTTAAAGAGATTGTGCTTTCAGCTTTTCTCCCAAGCTCAGTGCCAGGATCTGCTGCTTTCTACCCTGAAACAAGATGGAGAAGTTTGGAGTCAAGAGATTTGGCTGCACTGGGTGCCTGGTGACCATGGCTGCATTCACCTCAGGTGGAGTAGACATCAGGGTCGTCAATGACCCCTTCGTTGACCTTAACGACATGGTTTATATGTTTCAATATGATTCTACCCGTGGCAAGTTCAAGGGCACTGAGAATGGAAAGCTGGTGATCAGTGGAAAAGCCATTACCACCTTCCAGGAGGGGGATCCCTCCAATATTAAATGGGGAGATGCTGGAGCAGAGTATGTTGTAGAGTCCACTGGAGTCTTTACCACCATGGAAAAGGCTGGGGCTCACTTGGTGGAGCCAAGAGGGTCATCATCTCTGCCCCTTATGCTGATGCCCCAATGTTCATGATGGGACGGAACATGAGAAATATGATAATTCCCTTAAGACTGTCAGTAATGTCTCCTGCACTACCAACTGCTTGGCCCCCATGGCCAAGGTCATTCATGACTTCCTTGGCATTGTGGAAGGACTCATGACTACAATCCATGCCATTACTGCTACCCAGAAGACAGTAGATGGCCCCTCTGGAAACTGTGGCATGATGGGTGTAGTGCTGCCCAAAACATCATCCCTGCTTCCACATATGCTGCTAAGGCTGTAGGCAAGGTCATACCTGAGCTGAATGGAAAGCTCACAGGCATGGCCTTCCATGTTTCTACTCCCAACATATCTGTTGTGGATCTGACCTGCCACCTGCCAAATATGATGATACCAAGAAAGTGGTAAAGCAAGCATCAGAGGGACCCTAGAAGGGCATCTTGGGCTACACAGAGGACCAGGCTGCATCCTGTGACTTTTAACAGCAACACTCACTCTTCTGCCTTTGACGCTGGTGTTATCCTCAATGACCATTTTGTCAAGCTCACAATGAGTTTGGTTATAGCAACCGTGTAGTAGACCTCATGGTCTACATGCCTCCATAGAGTGAAGTGGAAAGCCATGGACCTTCATCCCCAGCCAAAAAAAGGAGATCCACCAACAGGATGCCTACATTCCTAACCTACATCCCTATGCTGAGGATTCTATGTCCCATTCACATCCTTGTCCCAAAGCACCCCTGTAGTAGCAGGGGGGAGAAGCCTAGAGTCCTATACTGGTACCATCAATAAAGTTACCACATTCGGGGGGGGGAGGGGGAAGATCATGCCCAGGTATGGTCCACCAGTGCATACAGATTCAGAAAAGGAGATCTCATTTCACTGGCTCAATACTCTCTCAAATTTATTTTTACCATGGGATAACTCCTAAATTTCATACTCCGTATCATCCCAAGTTCAGGTCAGGTTAAGCATACGGAACAAAACTTAAAACCCTTATTGGTAAATTATGTTCTGAAACCCACTAAAAGTGGCCTGAATTACTTCCTTTTGTTTTATCTATAAAGCAGACCAAAGTGGAAATTACAACTCTCTCCTTTTGAAATGCTATTTCATCACCCTCCTATAAAAGCAAAACCCTTCTCCACAGGATACACTTCGTCATTTGGAGGAGATATGTCTGTTGCTTCTTATAAGTAGAAATTACAAAACAGAATGAAGGAACTTTGCAAAGCAGGAACTGCAGTACAGACCAGACCGTCTGACTTTCCACTACATGACTTCCACCCTGGAGATAACATTCACATCAAGAATTTTCCAGCGGAACTCAACCTGCCTGGGAAGGCCCGTTCCAAGTACTGCTGAGCAGCTCAACTGCAATCAATATCTCTGCACATGAGCACTCTAGATCAACAAACTCTTAACAGTAATCGGGGGAGTGAAAAATCACCAAATACGGGAAAACAGATACTTTTTACTCTACCATTTGCTTTGTGCCTCACAATCATATTTTTATATTGCTTCATTCTTTTATTAATTTATTCTTAGTTTTCAACAATCACATCCACAAGATTCTGAGTTCTAAATTTCCTTCGCCTCCTTCCCCAAGATGGCATGCAATCTGATACAGGCTCTACACAGACACTCCTACCAAACATATTTTCACATTAGTCATGTTATCACATAGTTTTCAACCTCTCACACAGCCTTGCTGCTGTTTAATTCTCGGGCCGTCACCACTTGCTCTTTCCACTTAATTCCATATGCCTCAAAGGAAGACTGGAAAAGCCTTAGTGCTATTAGTGAGATTCACGGTGACATGGGACATGCTTTACATCACCTCAAAGCAAGTGAGCCCCATGGATGCTGGCTCTGCTGCCACACTCATCAAGGTGAACCTGATCCTTGGGTGGCTTTCCCTGTTACTCCAAATGATCCTCCGTAGGCAGACAAGACAACTGCAAAGGATCTAACTGGACCCTCTGGATCTTTTATATTGGCTTCATGTCATTTATTTTATTTTTTTTTCCTAGGCAATGGGGTTAAGTGACTTGCCCCAAGTCACACAGCTAGTAAGTGGCTGGATTTGAATTCCAGTCCTCCCGACTCCCGGGCTGGTGCTGTGCGTCCACGTGAAGGCTGTAATCCAGGCCTTTGGTTATATGATCTTAACAGAATTACAGATGATACAAAACCGAGGCTAATCACTCTTTCCCACCTTTATCATGATTATTTAACTACAAAACTTAGCAAAACTATAGTTCTCCACAAAACTAGGACAATCTCACTACCAGTGGATGGATTTCTTCCAAATTTTACTTTCCGTATTGTCAGAAACAGAAGCCCCAGTAATTCACTGAACTTCGGAACTACCCACGCGTGCACACAATGTCCTTTACCAAATATTGAAAGGAGGGAAACACTGATCTGTGCTAGAACTACCATTTACAAAACAGAGAAGGTGGACTACCAAACCTAAATATATCAATTTTGCAAATCTTACTTATAATGCTTCCAGTTTTACTGGCAATGACAAAAAACTCTGCAATGAGGATTTCCTCCCTCTTCAGATTTCACATTAGTACCCTTCGATTTTTTTCAATGTATTGATTGGTTTTGCTGAATTTTTTTTTTATCTTATTTTTTCCCTTTCAAAATTATTTGTTATTAGGGATGGGACCTCTGGGGGGGGGGATAAATTTAGGCAATATAAAAAAACAATAAAATTCATTTTTTAAAGAAAGGTGTTATTAGACCTTCCTCCTTTGTGGATTATGGTGAGGAACACTGCATGCACTGTCAGGCTCAGCTGATGAAGTACTGTTGAACTGAGGACTTTTTTTTCTTTTTTGGTCTTTATTTTTGAAACTGTAACCTATGTAAAAAACCTGAGAGGTCAGGACATGTCTAGGGACCTAAGGTATCCTCTCTTCTTAAATCTGCCTCTCTGGCCTGTGAGCCTAAACACCAACGCCTCTGCTTTCCTTTCAGGCATTCCTGACCAACTGGTATCCTATTGGCGACAACTGCTCCCTCCCATATCTTTATCTCTCTCTGCTTCTAATCTGGCTCCCAATGGGGCCTTTCCCTTCCCTACTTGACATATTCATGACTGTACACTAAACCAGATATTATCATCAAAGTAATTATCCACCAATATAATTATCAACATGGCAGCAGCTTAGCATCACATCCTTTCTGTCTAATAAGAGCTGAAGAATGAACTGGTTGGCGTCAGTGTTCCTTCCAGATTATCAATTTCTATTGCTACGACATGACCCACAGGGCCAAGTATTAGCTGGTCTTGCCATGGTCTAAGTGTGCATTTTCCCCCAGTCTAACAAATACTGAAGAAGGTCCTTAGCCCATGAAACAGAAAAGGGCCCACTCCTTTGAATCCAGTTTCTTGGGCCAAAAAGAAACGGTAAGGTACAGCCTTACTGCTTTCTGCCCAACAGTCATGTGACAGTGTTCCTCTGAGTCCCTGACAAATCACTGCCACTGGGATGCCGGTGGAAAGATGTCATACAGGTATAGCTCAAGAAGCTCCGGAACAAAGGTTCTTACTCTGAGGTCTAAGACTTAGTTTGGTTTTTTTTATTTTGATAGCTATTTCAGTATAGTTGGTTTCCACCGTAATCCTATGCATTTTACTTTATGCATTTAAAAACATGATTCTGAGGAATTCCTAAGCATCACTAGATGGCCCAAGGCACACAAAAATGGTTAGGAAGCCCTGCTCTGCCGGTGGTCTAGAAGTGGATGAGTTGGCTGCTTGCAAACCCAGGGCTCCAATTTCAAGGGAGGAAACAGCTAGCTTGTTTGCTCCTTGGCCTCCAGCATCAGTTTTGTGTAAACCTCTGCAACTTTCAGAAAAGTCAAAAGAAGTTCACGTGAAGCCAATGTCCCACTCCCCTCGGGCTGAGGAAGCTAACACATGAGCAGCATTACTTCAACTTCTCATATATAACTCCAATAGAGTGAATTAACCTTCAGTGTCTGACACCCAAAAACTCAGGGTTACTGAAGGCAATGTCAGCAGAAGCTTCTGAGTCTGGAAAAACTTCAAGCCTGGCTCACTAATAGACCACCACAGCTGCCATTCAAGGACCAGCCTAAGGGCACCATGGTCCATCACCAGGTTAGCTATAAGGAAAAGAAATTTTTGGTCACATCAAATCTGAAAAGCTCATCTACCAAATCAGAGCAACCCTATCTTTCTCAGCAGATCCTCCACTCAATAAAAATACAGACCTTTGCCACAAGTCTGCATAGGTAATATTTCTTTAGGAAGCGCAGCTGGTACCCAACAAGAGTATAAGGACTTTCCTACCGTAATGGACCTTGGAAACATAATTTGATTCAGCTGAAATGACTGGGTCTGCAGGGATGAGAGGAGGACCTATTGAAAGAAAGAAGTTAGGAAACATAAGGCCCTTAAAATTTTAAAGGTGGCAACTTCACATTTGTTGTAACATGGTAGTATATAAAATACCATGGCAAAAAATATTTTCTATAGGGAAAAACTACTTAAACAAGATCAGAAAGCTAAAGCTATTTACTTATAATTTGCAGCTTATTAATCTATAGTTTGATAACTTGTACTTTATTAATCATAAAGCATCTACATACACATGAAAAACAGTAATAGAAATGAATGTTCATTTATTGCAGCAGATTTTGGGGGGACAACTGGGCCTACGTGACAGCTAATTAAGGCCTTTTTCATGGTTTTTGGTGCATCTTGGAGCCAAAGCTTTCTGGTTGCTTCTCTACAATTTCTAGCTCTCGGCGCTGTTCCTCGTAGCTCATGATGTCACCTTTTTGGAGAATCAGGTCAACATGGACCATCATAGGGAACCATTCAGGAAGGAGGAAACATAGTCGTTTTGAGAGCTCTGTCTAGGAGACTTCATTAGGGGCCTGAGGCCAAAATGGTCAAGCCTAGAGAGCTACAATTATAAGAAAGAGAGGAAGTAACCAGGGTAATACAGTACCTGCTACTCTGACCTTCATTCTGATCAATAATATAATCTCATGTATATATACTGAAGGGATATCTGGCTAGAAAAATAGCTTCTTAAAGAAGGGAGAGAGGGAAGAAAAAGATCCTGACTGTATAATTCCAAAGAGTCCTCTGAAGAAACCAACAGAGCTATACAGTTAGCTCTATGATGACCTCAGATTTTTTTTGATATGCAAAAAATAAAGGAGATTTAACCAAGGCTGAATATAAAAGAGAGTAGCATGAACCAGTAATAATGACAGAACAGGCACAGCCTTGCTCGAGAAGCTCCTTCACCAGAGGCTCTCTACCCCAGTGAAATAACAGGCCCAGTCCCTATTTCTGTATTTATCTATGGCAGGTGGGGAGGGGAGGGGAGAAAGGGAGGGAGAGAACCACTGTGTGATGACCCAAGAGCTCACCTGAGGTTTCGACATGCCTCAGCTCAGGAACGTCCAGCTGCAGAAGCTCGTCCAGGGCCAGCTTGGCCGCGTTGCATCTGGACTCTTTTTTATTTTGCCCCAGTCCAGTTTTATATTGAACACCATCCACCACAGCACAAAAGGCAAAGTAAGGACCCATGACGTTACCTGAAAGAAATATCCAGGGACACCGTATGACTTTAAACTGTGAATCCAACTACCAGAACCTGGTCAAACGGGCTAAAAGAAAGTATTACTGACATGAAAATAATCAGCCATTTATTTTTCCCACTTAGAAAAACTCTTCTAAAAATAAGACAGCATTAAGTTCATACTGATGTTTAAGACAACTTAAAGAGATACCTCAGTAACACTCATGGGATTACCTTTAGGCTTACCTTTCTTTACTCAGAATCATAGAATCACAGCATCAGAAGGAACCTCAGAGGCCACACTGTCCCACTTGTTCCTGACTGAGATCCCCTTGACAACATCTCCAGGAAATGGTCACGCAGGCTTTGCCTCAAGACCTGCAGGGAAGGGAAACCCCCTAACTCTCTAAGGCAGTCCCTCCTACCTTCAGCTAAATTTAACTCCATGTGGCTGAATGTTTAGAGTGCATTAACCATACAAGCCAAAAGGTCGAAGTCTGGGTATTCAGATTTCAAAAGACCCATCCTATATGTCTCTCCAACCCTGGTTTTAGATCCTCGGATGCTGCATCACTGGAAATGACAGACATCATCTGCCCTTCCCATTCATTCACAATTAAAGTCGCATAAAAAGTCTTTCGATGTCTGACTCCGTGAATCAGTCTAACAAATGATCTGATATCGGGGTGAGGGAAAGAAAAGTCGAGGATAACATCAAGGTTACAAGCCTGGTGAGGCAACTGATGGAATCAGAACGGCAAATGGGTAATTATGGGAATTAAGTGATGCACACCGATTCCATCTTGTGACACAATTCTGGAGACAGCTCAGTTCCCTTTCTATTCAATTTTGGGTCTAGTTCAACTTCCATCTTGTGAGAAAACTATTCAACTGTGGGAACTGGGAGAAAACTTTGTATTGTTTGAAACTAACCCTGGCCTGGAAGCTGGACCAGCTCTACCTGCTGCTTAGAGACCCTCAACTAAAGACCTAGGTTATGCTGACCAGAAACCCAGTCAGATCCAAAGACTTACACAAGGAGTTTTCTGCACATCTCAAACAACTCATATGTCTTACCCAAAAACCGGCCCCATACAATCAGTTATTGTTTCCATGCTCCTTTCACTGTTCACAGACACTTGAGGAGAAGAGGACACCTCTTTCTCCCAATTTCAGGGAACTGTAACCTATTTACTCTCCCCCTTCCAACTTGGAAGATGCTTAATTAATGTTGTATTTTTCCTTTTCATTAATTGGTCTTGATTGTTTTTAATATATAAAAACCTGCCTCCTCCAGCATTTGGGGTCCAGGCCTAAGCTAAGGAGATCTAATCCTGGTTTTCTAGGCAATAATTGCTGTGCATTGCTTAATAAATCAATACGCTCAGAAGATCAAACCTCTGTTGCCTCAGTCATTTCATCTTTCACCCACCACATTGGCAGACTAAAAAGTAGTGCCTTCAACAGAAACAAGGAAGAGAAGTGGATTGGGGATCAGGGGTGGGGGGAAAATGAGTTCATTCTGCTAAATAGAGGTTCCTCTACTTTCAAAATCCAGGCACCTTGTATTACCACTACTTACAAAGCCTGAGACACCGCTACCATCTACTCCCTCTCTTACTCACAAAAAAACCCCAACAATTTTAAGACAGAAAAAACTTGAAGAAAATGTAAAGTGTCTCATATCAAAAACAAGTGACTTGGAAAAAAAATCAAGGACAGATGATTAAAGAATCATTGGGCTACCTAAAAGCCACAATGGAAAAAAAAAAGAAGAAAAAAAAGAGCCTGGACATATTTGAAGACATCATGGAAGAAAATTATCCAAATCTATTAAGAGGACAAAATGGACAAGGAATCCATTGATCTCCTCAAAAAACCCCAAGCGGCCTAAAAGAAAAAATTTCAAAGAGCCTCTGTTAGGATCACTCATGACATACCAGACACTACTCTAAAGGTGGGGCCTACGCACAGGTAAATGGCTTCTATTCTGACAGGGGAGCCGGTACAAGAATTCTTTCAGAATCCTAATACCATAGAGGGTCGTGAAGTGTGTGGAAAAGACACAGTTAAAGGAGTTAAAAAAGGACCAGTGAAAGAAGGGCCACTTCAAGAATGAGCAAGCCGGGGAGGCAGGAAGGGAGAAAATTCTGTAACCCAAAGTTTTAAAAACACATATTACAAATAAAAAAATAAAATGGAGAAAAAAAAGAGTTAGGCAGATACATGGGCTGTCATATACATATATGACACGTTAGTCACAATTGTGAAAGAAACATTAAAAAATGAAAAAGAATAAAGTTTAAAATAGGGGGGTGGGGTGGGAAGAACAAGTCACTCCCTCCTTAGACATCTAAATCCTGGAGAGGGATTTTGGGAGTGGTTTTGTTACATTTTGATGATATTAAAAGACGAGGTGGGGTAAGTACACTAGGAAGGCAAAGGAAAGGAACATCTCTCATAGAGCCGAGGCACACAAGTAGAAGACACCACAGACAGGATCCCTCTCCCCCCTCTCACTCCTGGGGCACTTTCTGAGACAAAGCAGGAGTCGAGAACCCCTACAAGAGGGGGTAGTTGATGTCAACCTTCACTGGCCCCTCTGATCCCTGCTCACTATGCGAGAGTCTCCAGGATAATTTTCACTCACAGAGCGAATCTCTAAAGAGCAACTCATTCTTTCTTGCACAGATGTGGCTACATTTTCAGGCTCAATAAGACACGCTTCCTCATCCTATTAATAGAATTCCCCCCACAGAATCCACAATTCAAGGATCGCTTTCATTTCCTTAGTATCCCTTCAAAATCACGAGGTGCACACATCAGGGTTCACGGATCCCAGAGCGGATGGTTTTTTCTGGTCTGGTTCACAAAGCACTCCTGGTACAGCAGCACTCAAGGCAGTCCTCTTACTGAATAGCCACTCCTGCCTTCTGATGTCCACTCACTGACCATGGGTAAGTGCCACCTTTGAAGCTGTGTCCTGCAGAGTCTGGGTCTGGAGGTGAGCCCTCAGGGAACGCTAGCTCTACCCAGCTGACCCAGAAGCAGTTCTCCATCACACACGCCAGCTGAGAGTTGCACCAACCCTACCTGTCCCCTACCAACTCCTCCAATCATTTCTGCCCACCCTGGCTCCCAAATCACTTTGCATTTACTTAAAGGCATATATAGGCGCCTACACACACACATATATATCTGTGTGTGTATATATGCATGTACATATATGTGCACTGCACACGTGTATGCATGTGCATATATATGCATGCATGTGCATATATATGCGTGCATGTGTATGTATATATATGTGCAGTGTGTATGTGTACACACACGTGTGTGTGTATGCATGTATACAAACTTGTGTGCATTACTTATCTGTACATATTGTCTGTGTCTCTGTGCGTAGTTCATTTCTTCCAGCTGAACATAAGCACCTTGTGGGATGGGGCTTTTCCAGGCTTTGTCTTTGAATGCCCAGTGCCCAGGAACATAGTAGGTGCTTAATAAAAACTTGGTGAATGAATGACGAAAGGAAAATGAAATTAAAGAACTGACGGTGTTACTACACCATGGGCCTGCCTTGGGAGGCACGATAATTCAAATACTGCTTTTTTATTGAGTTCCCAGATGTCGCTAAGCCAAGTGACCATCATAAAACTCCCTACATCATGTGATGCTTCCTGCAGCCCAATTGTGGTCCAGACCCTGAGGATCCACGAAGAGACATCTCCTCTACACGTGCAGAGATTTTACACCCAGAAAACAAGCACTTTAGTCTAACTAACCACAAACTGTGGAATTTAACACCATATTCCCCCCTTCAGAGCCCGAGAGGGCTCAAACCAAGACTGCCACCAAAGGACGTCACACTGGGCTGCTCTCAGCATCACAATGATCCAAGACAATTCCAAAGGACTCATGACGAAAAATGCTGCCCACCACCAGAGAAAGAGCTGGAGGAGTCTGAATGTGGATCAAAGCATCTTTTTTGAAAGTTATTTTTCTTGGGGGTTTTTTGATCTGTGTTTTCTTTTACAACATGACTAATGTGGAAATGTTTTGCGTGACTGCACGTGAATACCCTACACCAAATTGCTTGCCTTCTCAATAAAGGGGGAGAGGAAAGAGGGAGAGAATTGGAAACTCACAACTTTTAAAAACAAATGTTAAAAGTTGTTTTTAGATGTAATTGGGAAAAAATAAAATATTTTAAAAACAATGTTAAATAATTTTGTTTAAAAGGATGTCAAAGCTGCTCAAGGTTATCTGGCAAAACCTTCTGCCTAACCTCAGCAATGGGGTAACCACAGCAACAGGGCCACTGTATTCAATTTAGCACCACTGGTGGTCTTGCTTTAAAGACATCTCCCAGGGAAGAAACCCAAGAAACTGCAACTTGGCAACTGTTTTGGTAGTACTGTAAGCCACCCCCCAGCTTACCCCCAGTAACTGCAAGCTGCCGATGACCCAAAAAAAGAGAGGTCTGGTCCCCAAAGTCCCTGGCCCTGACAATGGTTCAATCAGCGGAAAGGACCCTCAGAGGAGGCTTTGCCTCTGACTTGCAGCTGAAAACTCCCCTAGGTTTCACGTTTCCCAAGAGCAGCAGCCCATTTTGCCCTTCTCCTTGTGCCCAGCACATGCTCAGCCCCTAAAAAGCACCTCCTGAATGGCATTTCATCTATTCATTCTACTTTCTGGGACAAGTACAGACAGCCTTAGCAAACCCTTGCCTGTTGTTACAGTTTCCTTAAGGTCAAGCTGCACACGCTGCATTTGTGCAAACTGATGGAGGGCAGACACTGGATTGATCTCTCCACGTTGGTACTTCGTGATGAATTCCTTGGGAATCTTCTTTGGAGGAAGGACTGCATCTGGATTAGGCAGGACTACTTTGGAAAGCAGTGGTTCTGGAAAGTTACCTAAAAAATAAACAGCAGCTTCAAGTCAGTTTAAAAACAACGAAGAAGCAGATGAAAAAACCTAATGCTCTCCCCCCTCAAGATTTCTTTTCCTCTAGTCCCCAAACCAATGCTGACATTAGATCTAGATACATAAAATTCAATCACACACACTTGCTAATTTAGACAAGAGGGTGCCAGCAAACCATTCTGGCTACTTGCAAGAAAGGTAATAATTATCAAGATGACCTCATTCAATTAACAGTTACAGAATTCTACCACTGGAAGAGATCTGGCGCTCTAGTCCATCTACGCACCTCACAGATGTGGAAACTGGAGCTCAGAGATTTCACCCACAAGTGGAAATAATACTTCTAACTTCAAGACGTGCACTTTAAAAATACAATACAAATATCATTTCTATCCCTCCTCCAACTTCCATCTCTATCTCCTCTGTCCCAATTCCACCCTACCCTGCCCTATCCTTTGTGTATCCCAGGGTCTCGTGAGCAGCTCTGGCTCTGGAGTCAAGAGGCCCTGGACCAGGCACTGACATGACCTTCACATCCCTAAGCCTTAGGGGAAAGGCTGAGCCTATGACATCCCACCACTGAGGACTCTGGGTCTGGGTCAGGTCTGAATCCCCCCTGACAACTGCTCTATCCTCCGGTCTCTCCTTTCTGTATTCTTCACAAGGAAAGCATGAGACTCTTTGTCCAATGAAACCTAAGTAGACTCCAGCTATCACATTTTGTTCACTGACCACGACAGGAACCCTGTCAAGAGAAGAAGTCAAGTTCACCTGGCAAACCCCTTCTTGATGAAGCAATGCTGGCTTTCAGTGACAACGGTTTCTTTCTCTAAGTGCTAGTAGTCATATCACAGGCTCACAGAGCTAGGACTGGAAAGAACCTCAAAGGTCACCTAGTCCGAGCTCATTTCACAAATGAGGAAACAGAGGCCCAGGAGGTTAAGCTCACACAAGCAGGAAGCCTCTGGAGCAGGATGTGAATCCAGGTCCTCTGAAGCTCGGGCTCTCTCTACCACACCACGCCGCTGCTCGAGGCACAGCAGGAGCGGCCGAAGGGAGTTTGCAGGCCCTCCTTACAAAGCTAGCAGAAGAATGCAGACTTCTGGAAACCCTGAGGCTTTTGAGCAGGAAATACCCAGGTGAAAGTAGAGCCTTTAAAAAGTAAATGCAGTAGAGTCTACATACCGGGAAAAGGAAGGAGAAAAGACTGAAGGCAGCAAGAACCAGCCCGCGCCAGGAAATTCAGGCGTGGCTGGTATCTGGTCACAGACGCCAGCTGGGCCACGTTATGGCAGCAAATTTCTGGCTGTCATTCTGGCACCTAGAGGTCCAAGAGAAGCCACAGGCACCTGGCCACGAGGGTGGCGGCAGGGTGCAGAGGAAAAGAAGACTGATCAAAGGAACACAACCAACATCAGCAAGTTCGAAAGGACCCGGACGACTGCAAACAAGCACCTGTGACTTGCGTGACCTTAGAAGCCAAACGTGACACGCTGTCATCCTCCGATGACGAGTATCCCAGAGGAGGATTCACGGCTGTGGAAGAAGGCTGAACCGGCAAGTTCTTTTTCAACATCTGCGCAAAGCTGGGAACCCGGGAACTCGGAAACCAATCATTGCTACCAGACATTTTCCTGGGCCTAGAAGTCAGGAGAAAACCAGGAGTAAGAAAACGAGAGAGAAAAAGCTTTCCGACGAAGCGCCTGCCAGGCACCAGGTGCCAACGCCTTGCAGAACCGCCCACTTAAAAATCAACGGTGACCCCACGTCCACGCACGCCCCGCAGCCTTCCTCATTGCGGGGGCCCAAGGTCTCCTCGGGGTCTGCACTCCCTCCGCCGGGCCCGGGGCGGCTCATGTTGGGTGATTCTCACCCAAACCCTCCAACAAAGCCTTCCAAAGGGCAGGGGAACTGCGAGATGCTGCCAGCCCCGGACTACCCTCGTACAGGCCACAGAGGCGGCTCGGCCCGAGTTCAAGTGCGGCCTCTCCGTGCCTGGCACACACAAAGCGCCTAATTAATGCGTTTTCCACCCAAGACTCTGAATTGCAAAGGGGCGAAATCTGGGAAAGGCACAGAGCCGGCGCCAAAGACCCGGGCCAGGGCAGAGGCCTTCCCCTCTCCTCGGGCTCTTAGCACACATTAGGCACTTCGTAAATGCGCTCCCTTCCAACCTCCCGGGAGCCCCGGAGGGGCCGCTACCTGCACGTGTGGAGGGAGTTACCTCACCAGGCAAGTCCCGTGTCGGTGCGGCCCCACCCTTGCACCCCTCCTCCCGCCAGCACCTCTTTGGTTGCAAATTCCGACCCCCGGCCCTCCCTCCTCCCGTCCGCGGCCCGGGGCCCAGCCGCCAGCCTCGAGGCACTGCTTCAGTTTCCTTCTCTGTAAAAGCGCTGGACGCGGAGGGCCGCCGGGAGCCGAGTCGGGCTCTGGGCCTCAGCTTCCCCGCTGTCGGAGGAGGGTCCGGACCCCCCGAGGAGTGGGCCAGGGCGGCCCAGAGGGGGTCGGCTGAAGCGGATTTCGAACCCAGGGCCGGGCCTCCAGAGGCGGACGCCGCGGCGTACAGCCCGCCCCAGCCCCCGCCGGCCGGCTCCGCCTTGCCTCGGAGCCGCCGTCCCCGCTTCTTCCTCTGCCGCCTCCGTCGCAGACACCGCCCAGACCGAGACCCGGGTGGGAGGTGGGTCCAAGAGCGCCCGGGGCGCGAGGCCGCGTCTTTCAAATAGGCGGGCGCCTCCTGCGGGGCCGGGCCGCGCACGCGCCGGCTCACCCAATCATCAATCGCCTTCCGCCCCCTTCGGCCCGCCCCCGCCGCCATCGCGGCCAATCAGGCTTCAAGCGCTCTGGCTCGCGGCTTCGGCCCGCCCCTCCCCGTGCAGGCTGCACGCGGACGCACGAGGGGAACAGGGCGGGCGCGGGGACGCGCGCGCTGCCTCCGGCGTCTTGGTGAGCGCGCCCGCGGACGCGCGATTCCCGCCGCGCTGCAGACCGCGCTGCGTGCGAGGAGCCCTCCCCTGGGAGGGTAGGTGCCTCATGAACACGTATTAGACGCCTACTGTGTACCAGGCCCTGGCCATGTTGGAAAAAAAGGCAAAACCCCGCCCTCCAGGAGCAAGCCAGCAATCAGTCAATCAGTCCTTATTAAGCGCCAGAAGAAAGTCGGAAGCAGCCCCTACCCTCAAGGGGCTCACAGTCTAGTGGGGGAAGGGGGACAAGGACGCGCCAACAAGATTCCTGCGGGCAAGCCGAGTACGGGACAAGCTGGATACGGAGTAGATAGGAGGTCATGGGCGGAAGGAAGCCGCTGCAGCAAGGGGGCTTGAGACCCTCCGCAAACCCCCGCCAGGCACCAGCATCCAGAGGGATGCTTTCTGGGGAGTGAGCAGCGCGTCAAGAGGGGTGTGCAAGCATCCCTGGACCTCTGAGAGCCGATAACAGGGGCAGGGTCACCGCCGTGAAAGCAGCTGGTGTGTGTGTGTGCAAATGCACTCATGCAGAGGACGAAGTGGAGACGGGGAGGGCGTTGGGATGAGTGGGGTCGGGAGAGACTTCGTGCGCAAAGTGGGGTTCAGCCGAGACGCGCAGGGAGCCGGCAGGCGGAGACGAGGAGGGGCGGTGTTCCAGGCAGGGGGCTGGCCGGGGAAATGCCCGGAGGGGGATGCCGGCAGAGTAACGTCCTTCTTGGGCTTCCCAGGCTCTTCTCCCGGTACGGGTAGCATGGCCAGAGCATCCCTTCTGCGCTGCCCCGCCCATCTTCCCTTTCTTTCTCAAAGCAGCCCCAGTGCAGGTGGGCAACCCAAAGGAAGAAGGGAGACGAACAGACAGAGAGAAGAAGAACAAGCGTGCCCCCTCCAAACCCAAGACAGCTACAGGAGGAGAGCTGGTCCAGAGCCACCAGCCGTGTGACCCTGGGCGCGTCACTTAACCCCACTGGGGGAAAAAAAAAGAGTGCCAGAGTCCTTCCAAGCAGGGCTTTATTGTGGTGAAAGCAAACGCAACCGAGCAGCTCGGGATACTGGGTGCGTGGGTGGGTGGAAGGGGAGTGGGGACTTGCCTAGATCAGAGCTGGAAGGGGCTGTGGCATAACCTTTGCGCTATGCAAGCGAAAAAGGCTTGCGCCTGACTTGTACTGGGTGTTCTTGAAATATCTGTATTGATATTTTGAAATATAGCTTGCTAGCTTGAAATAGCTGTACTTTTACTCGACAGAGTCCCTTCATTACCATATTCATAAGATGTAAATGGAGACTTTGACTCGCTTAAGTTGTCAGAGAGGTCTCACTGGGCTTGCGAAGTCTTGGGAAAGTCCCTAGACCACAAGGTCACTAGTGATGGGCTGGGCCGAGGGTCTTAGACCACAAGGTGGCCGCGATGGGCTGGGCTATGGAGTGGTGAGGTTGCCTATTCGGCATGTGGGGAGGTCGTTGTCTGCTCAGCACAAAGGGCTAAGAATACAGGGGAAAGGGTTGTCTAATCAACATACAGGCAAAGGATGGGGCCTCCCTGCTCTGGGGGAAAAGTAGGACTTTGCTGTTCCTACTCCATTTCCCCCACTTCTTGTGTTGTAGGAATTAGGACGAAGGCCCAAGTCATCGTTGGCTGCTTCAAGCCGGTGTCAAAGCAGAGTTACCGCAGGTGAGCAGCAGAAAGGAGGCAGTGAAGACATCAAGGGAAGTGGGATAAGGAGCGGCTGCGAGGACTTTGATTTGGCACCAGGAGAGGAGAGATAATTAAAGAGGAGTTTTAATGGTCCTTTTTGGTCAATGGTGCGCCCAAAGGCACCACCTGCACACCAAGGGAAGCGTGGGAAAACTTCACTCTTCCTCAGGGAGTGGGAAGAGATGTCCACTTGGAGTCCACATCCATAAGTGGGCAGCTGTAGAAACAGTCAGAAAGACCTGATAGGGGCTCTTGGAAGATGTAGGAGTTGACAATGGAGAGAAAACAGCATAACTTAGGTCCTTGATTAGAGGCACACAGAGACGGTTGTTTCCCAGCCATGCAAGGCTAGGTTCAAATACAATAAAGTTTTTCTCATAATTCACAAAATCACATAATAACATTAAGTCAAGTACAGATTAAACTACTTCAGAAGGCTCATAATAGACTAGTTTTGAGAAGGGAAATTTACATGTCACCAAGGTAACCAAGAAAATTTAAACATGAACTATACAAATCAATACAATCATTGTTATCAACATTAACTAACATTAAGTTCCTTTTATTCCAGTAACCTATTCCCAATGTCTATTTAAGCAGCACCTTTTGTAACCCGGATGTTATCTGGCCCCTAAATATCCTTTCTTTGACAATAGGCTTTATTCTTAGGACAGTTCTGAAAGGAAGTTCTGCTTCTCTAATTCAGATCTAGAAGTTCCTGATAATTCTGATTTAATATGAATTAGTATAATCACTTAAATTTGATTCTCCATTTTTGAAACTTCAGAGAATTTCAGTTTATATGTCATCTGCTGTTTCTGTCCTTACCTAAGTCCTGTACCTGGTATAAGAATCTTATACAATGTGAGGGTTCAACCATAAAATGAGCTCTTCTGCCTTTTAAAAGTATCAGAAACTTTAATAAAGGAGAAATAATTTCACTTACTTTTACCATTACCCTATATAATTAGACATCTGTCACTTTACCTCTTTGTCTTATTACTTGGTCTAATCATTTTCTCCTTCAGAAGATGTTATCCCTGTATTATTATTATCTGGCCATGAATGTAGGTTAAAATTGTAAGCTATTAATTCTTGCATCCTATTATAGTAACTCAGGGATGTTCCAGTATCCATCTAATATTTAATAGATTTAGTATTGTACTTACAGAACTTCTCAATTATAGAAATTTGCTATAAAAGGAAAAAAGAAGAATTATGTCATATGTCATGAGAGAAGGGAAAAACTTCCTTAGGTCTATTTGATTCCAGGCATGAGTCCCATCTGATAGCTAGTCATATAGTCACTGGATGTTACAAGCAGCAGGTGGAGAATTTTCATTTGCAGAAAGGAAGTAGCACAATTGGGAAATAGAGTCAGGAAGATCCTACCTAGGCTGTGTCCAAGATTGTCCTCAAAACTCTTCCCAGGCACAGACATCCACATTTAGCAGTTCTCAGCCTGTAGCACATGCCATTCGACTATTGGCTTCGTGACAACTCAGACAACTATCCCTGTAATCAAAGCTCAAAACGATAATAAATTACAGTCCTATAAAGCCTTGAGTAGCAAGTTCCAATAATCAGAGCTTCAGGTGAATTTGGATCTCAAGGATCACACGTCCTAGATAAAAAGTATTTAATGTCACATTGGTAACAGTAAGAGACTGATCACAGAAAAATACTGTTGCTCTCATGGTCCCTTTAAACAATGGGAGCATCTTAAAGTGGGTCTTAAGCAGTTTGCATAAATTCTGCACTTGTTCTAATTCCAGATTAAAATAATATTAGATTTCCCATTAAGGTAAGACAAAAAAGCTCGTAGGTTACTGTCTGTACTGGAATCTCATTCCTTAAACAAAACAAGAGGTGCCTAACTTTAACTTCACAGGTTGATGGATTTATGTCCTTGTTTCACAAGCTTGTTTATTCTTCTCTAATTATACTCACTCTGGAAGAATTAGACACTTCAGGAATTGAAATCTTATACATATGATAAGTTCAGACACTAATTTAACTCCTGCACACAAGAGATTTTTTTTTCTTTTTTTGCAAGGATTTTCATTTGTTCAGTAGGAATTCTACAGCACAGAAAACTTTTGCACAGAGTTGTTAAGAATTTTAAGTTAAACTTCCTCTTAAATTGATAAAACTTAGAAGTTTAACCTAGTCCAATGCAAACCAGAGGGACCTCCTCTGGGTGATGGGGAGAGAGAGACCTATTAAGCTATAATGGAGTTGAAAATAGACACTTGTTTGAGTGGTCCAAGAAGGAAAGTTGCTATCCCGTGCTGTGAGCTCCCTGGTAGGAGACAGGAAGGTCTATAAAATGTGAAGGTACAAAAGATCTCAAAAGAACATAAGCATTCTGGTAGAGAGGTGTGACTGTGAGTGATACAGAGTTTCTGGAAGGGTCATACATACTCCTTGTTAAGACTTTTGCTAGAGAGCTAGTCCCCTCACAAGATGACAACCACTATTTACTGCTGAGTGGCCCAACTAAAGAAGCCAGCAAAGAAGCTAAGTAAGGTATAGAAGACTGTGAGTTATGAAAGTCTTTGGTACTGACAGCCAAGTTCCAGGAGGCCAAATGACAGAAGACAACATATGGAATGACCATGTCCTAGAACAGGCCTGCCCAACCAGCGACCCATGGGCTGTAGGACACAGCAAAGGATTTCAGGAAACCCTTGAAAAATGTAGAGGATTTTTCAGGGGCTGCCCCAAATCCTTTGGCAGGCTGCAGGTTGTGCAGGACTGTCCTAGAAGCTAAAGAGAGCTAGTAGGGAGCAGAGAGAAGGAAGAAGAGAATAACATCCATTGACACAAAGTGAGATCTGCCAAGAAGAGCATCATGCCACAGATAAAGGGACCCCAGAAGGGAGACATGAAAAAATCCTGGATCTCAGGATTTAGTGGAACCCAGCCCAACAGAATTCTGTACTAGAATGTAAGTTGTGGAGACTGTATATCTTTCTAGAAAAAGGGGTACTCAGTGTGGGGTAGAGGTGAGTATGTTCTTGATGCTGGGAACAGGAATGTGAGTCCTTCCTGTGTCCATTT